GCCTGGCTCTTTTAATAAAATAACTTGGCTGCTCAGACCGCTCCTCCAGATTTTAGCGCTAGGAATGTCCAAATGTGCTCCATTTTGCAAACCGCCTTTAACCAATTAACTGGGTCTTACCCTTCACTTGTTCTTAAGCCAGATTGTTAGTGGTCATCTAACCAGCTGTGGCCCAGCCCTGCCTGCCTGCGCCAGGCCAGCAAGACCGAGGGAAACACGCCCCCTGACCCCGGCCCAGGGCAGCAGAGCGCGGCCTCTCCGGTCAGGCGGACCTGGTGTGAAAACGGAACTAATCGCAGTACCTGCTGCACAGGCTGCTGGGAAGATGGTGAGAGACACGCAGACTCGGAGCGCGGCCCCGTGCCTGGCACAGAGCACGTCATGGATGCCAGCGCTGATGAATGCGGCCACCGTTTCCTGAAGACATGAGGCCTCTCAGAGCGAAAGGGAAGCTGTCAGGGTGTGCTGGTTCCATTGAACCTCCGCACAAACTTGCAAACTCAGAGATCCAACGCACACAGGGGCTGGAGTGCCTGCCAGGGGCAAGCCGTCCCACATGCCACGTCCTGGGCCCACGGCTGCTACACGGCACCCAGCCACGTCCTGGGCCCACGGCTGCTAAGAGAGAATATCTTCAGAAAACCTAATAAAATGCAGGAACCCTATTCTGCTGCTGAAAAGCTCCATGCTCCCTGCTGCCCAGAAACGGGCTTCTCACAGGGAGCCCGTCCGTTTATGGAAACTAGAACCCAGTCCATTTCCCAAAACGGCCCTTCCCGGGACTGACCATCACTAACATTTACAGCAATAACGTCCTCCTTAGAAGACGGAGAAGCATCTGGAATAAATTCACTTTGAAAGTAAGACTATTAGTCCTAACCGGTTTGGCTCAGTGGATAGAGCGTCGGCCTGCGGACTCAAGGATCCCAGGTTAGATTCCGGCCAAGGGCATGTACCTTGGTTGCAGGCACATCCCCAGTAGGGGGTGTGCAGGAGGCAGCTGATCGATGTTTCTCTCTCTCATCGATGTTTCTAGCTCTCTATCCTTCTCCCTTCCTCTCTGTAAAAAATCAATAAAGTATATTAAAAAAAAGAATGTAAGATAGTAAAACCTTAAAAAAAAAAGTAAGAATATTAAATAAACGTGTGTGTGTGTTTCCTTTGGGAAAAATGATAAATAATAAAATCTACGAAACTTTGAAAAAACTCTTGACGCATTCAGTTGGTGAATTTATCCCGAGAGATATATTGGAAAACTCTAGTAGGAAAAACAGCACGGAATGGGCCCAGGACAGACAACAGGCCGAGTCGCACAGGGAGTCGGGAAGCTCACCCACAGCCTCACACACACACAGCTGCTGGCTTCAGGCCGATGCCGCCGCCAGGCCGTGGAGAGGGGGCATCTGCTTGGTAAACCCTGGGCACCAGGGAGGGCGGAAACGAAAAAGAACCCTGGTCCCGCCTCCTGCCCAGCTAGTCCTCCTTCACGGCAGGAGCACAGATGCCACAGGGACACAGGGCTCCGAGAAGACAAGGTAAAGCTGAGAACATAAGGAGGTTGACGTGAATAAAAACAAAGAAACTGGCAAGCCTTTTCCAGGAGAAAGAAGACCCATAATGCTTTGCTGCCTGGAAGGATGGTGAGAGAAAGGAATCCCGAGCTCGGGGGCAGGGCCCACAGTCTGCCATGGGAAGGAGGAAGCCTGCATCGGATCCGAACCAGGCCCAGGACGCTCAGTAGGATGCTGCTGCGGGCGGTGCTGGTTCTGACCTAAGTTCAGGCAGTGGCCACGGAGATGTAGGTGAGAGAGTGGATTTCATGAGCCAGTGTAAAGGCCGGAGAGACAGAAACCTTGCAGTAGCATTACTACCCTGCATATTTCCTCCTGCGATTGTGGGGCAAACATTAGAATGCATAAAAGACCCGTTATGTAATTTTGTCTCCATTTCCTATCACGAGAACTGCAAGTAGAAATCCTAACAGAGGATCAGAAATAGATCTTTAATCGAGACTAAAATGCCCTCAAAGAACCAAGAAGCTACAAGAGGACACCACAGGGAGACGAGTACTAAATAAAGAAATTAGCCATGGTGAACGATATAAAGAAACGTTCCAGCAAAATCATCAAACTATCAGGAAAGTGGGTAGAAAGCAGCCTATTCACGCCCAAGAGTTTATCTTGGAGCGAAGAAAACCTCCGAGGTCAGAAGGAGAAGAGGCTGAGGGTTTCTGATGATAATTTGACTAAATCGTTGCCACAGATACGCTTTACCATCTGATCTCAAGCATCAATCTAAGTGCATAAAGTCAATGAAGGAAGGAAGTCTTTCCTAAAATAACTGCAACCATCAACCTTCATTAAACAATTTCCTAAAGGGATAGAGGGGGGAGGGAAGGACCAAGATCAGGTGACATCAGGTGCCCTGGTCCAGACAGACGGATGCTGAGAAACCTCGTGTTCTTGCCTCCCAGCCTCCAGTTCTACGCAGCACCCAGTTATGACCGGGGCCCTTCCACTTAGTACTATTTTTTAAAATACATTTTTATTGATTTCAGAGAGGAAGGAAAGGGAGAGAGAGATAGAAACATCAACGATGAGAGATTCCTTGATCAGGCTGGCTCCTGCACACACCCCCTACTGGAGACTGAGCCCTCAATCCGGGCATGTGCTCTGACCAGGAATCGAACCGTTGACCTCCTGCTTCATAGGTCAACCCTCAACCACTGAGCCATGCTGGGCACTTATTACTATTTTCACAGAAGCTTCATTGAGTTGGGTGTAAGTTTATGCCGAGAAAATTACGAAGAATGACACGTGACATAAAATACCAGAAGATCTATGAAATAATGCGATCAACAGTCTTTGCTAACCTTGAACATGGCTCAGCAAAGTGAAAGGCTAGGTTAACTAAGGAGGACGCCAAACATGACTTTGAATATCCAAAGGCAGTTCTAAGCAAGAAACTCCGGGGTATAGTCACAGAGACACTTTTATTAGTCAGTATCCACAGCAGCTTTACACACAGGCCAGGCTTCCGACAGACCCTAAACCCTCTTCTAAAGGAGAGAGGCGCGGAGCGTAGGCCGGGCCGGGCAGTGGGACATGAGCCGGGGCTGGCGGGGCCAGGCCACAACCCTGACCACCCCTCCCTGCAACCGGCCACACACGCACCACGGAGCACGCCCCCCGGAGGCCCAACGATTAAACGCGGCGGTGGGAGTGCACGTGCTTCGTAAAACAGAAAGTGATATTTATTTCCTCAGAGAAGTACAGAAGGGAAGAGACAGTATGTCCATGGAAATTTGCTTTTATTCAAGCTCACGGTCCTATCTCGAATGCCTACATGTGTGCCTAAGTCAGAGCACATCTCAATTTACCAATAATCCAGGACCAAGAATTCTGGGCTCTTGTTTCTGACGATGCCCTTGATAGACGCATTAGTCAGTGAGCAGGACATAGCTATCAGATGCATCTGCTATGCGTGATTTCTCGCGGACTGCATGCCTGTCACCCAAGTCACTTTTAGTCGCACTGCCTCCGAGCAGTCAGTTTCCGCTGTCACACAGGACAGGCCTGGGGTGGAGGCCTGCATCTACCACTTCCCGGCTATGTGAGTTCCCAGAACTCAAACACCCTTCGGCTCTGTTCTCTACCTCGGGAATGGGGACCCACACGCAACATCACAGGTTTCAAAATAGCACAAGATTTAGGCGATAACATTTAACGCACGCAGCAGGATGCCTGGCATGTAGAACAGACCTCGTAACGTTAGCTAGTATGATATCTAAAGTGCCGCCTCCAAGCAGATGAAGTTCTGTGTTCCGCCTCTGGTCACTCTCGTCCTTCAACAAGTACACTCTTCCTGTGTGCACCGCGCTGCAGGCGCTCACGTTACGTTACAGCCAGATGGGAACTTCAACCTTTACTGAGCAACAGTAAGCTAGGTACCATTCAGACACGACGCACATAAAGATGAACTACACTTCGTCTCCAACTTCAAATATTTCTCAATATAAGGCTCTGGAGGGCAGATATTTGTGGGCTCTGCCCCCCTCTGTATCCGCAATGATTGTAATGGCACCTGGAATGTCGAATTTGCTTGGAAAATATGTGTAAAATGAACAGTCTAGTGCTTTCTCTTCTATATTTATATATGTATATACAGATACATACACACACACACACAGAGGGTGTCCCCCAGAAATGTATACACTCTTTAACAGCCAATAGCTCAATTTTGAAAATGAAATGTATTTTAATAAACACTGCCTTTATAATTATTCACAGTGTATGTATACACTTTTGGGACACCCTATAAATATCTAAACCTCAAAATAAGAAACTACTTTTACTTAATATTTTGAATATCCAATGAAGAAAAACTATAAATAAAATTACTTTATTAGTACAAATGTAACTAGAATTGGGTTGCAGCCTAGGCTTCTTAAAAACAATGTTAATGATTTTCTTGCGAAATAAATATGACACTGGACACTTTGAAAAAGAACTCCAGAAGCGTGCATGCAGCACGTGTAGGGAAAGTTCACCGAGTGGTTAATAATGTGACAACAGAAACAACATCCGGTGCCGTTATCTCACCGCATGCCTTACCATTTGTCCTAACATTTAGAGCAGCGGTTCTCAACCTGTCGGTTGCTCGCGACCCCTTTGGGGGTCAAACGACCCTTTCACAGGGGTCGCCTAAGACCATCGGAAAACACATATATAATTACGTATGTTTTTGTGATTAATCACGATGCTTTCATTATGTTCAATTTGTAACAATGAAAATACATCCTGCACATCAGATATTTACATGACGATTCATAACAGTAGCAACATTACAGTGATGAAGTAGCAACGAAAATGATTTTATGGTTGGGGGTCACCACGACAGGAGGAACTGTATGAGAGGGTCGCAGCATTGGGAAGGTTGAGAACCGCTGACTTAGAGCACACGGTCATCGACATTCATTTCAGACTTAGAACGTGGCTCACCTGGTCTTCTTCGCCTCCGCCCTCCTCGTCGTATTTCAGGATGTTATCTCTGACGTCATCCTCGGGGTCGATCAGGAGCTGCTTGGCCTGGCGTTCCTTGTCCCGGCGCTTCATCCACACCACGAACATCAGGACGAGGACTAGGGTGGGGAGAAGAGGGAAAGGCGGAACAGTCATGTCTGACACCCGTCCACCAGCCACAGTCGGCCACACCGGCGATGGACACTTCTGTGTGTGCAAAGCTTGCAACACGCCTTCTTCTTTACGGCCTTTTTCTGGCCTCACATTAGGAGACGAGATCAAAGCAGGGCCCTGCCTCTGGGTTCAGAGTGTGAAGACCTGGGTTCAGAGTGTGACCCCACTGGGCGAATGCCTGTGCTCAGTCCCATGGCCTAGGCCTGGGGCCGACGACCATTGCCATCTTTTACTTTGGCTTCCTGGAGGACACTAATCTTAATAAAATGATGTGTGCCCGGCCGGCGTGGCTCAGTGGTTGAGCGTCGCCTTATGAACCAGGAGGTCACAGTTGGATTCCGAGTCAGGGCACATGCCCAGGTTGCGGGCTCCATCCCCAGTGTGGGATGTGCAGGAGGCAGCTGATCAATGATTCTCTCTCATCATTGATATTTCAATCTCTCTCTCCCTCTCCCTTTTTCATTGAAATCAGTAAGAATATATTTTAAAATAAAAAATAAAGTGGTTTGCAAACTCGAAAACAGCGCAGAGCAGAAAGTTAGACTGTCACTTGTTATTTAATCATTCAAGGTCCCGGTCATTACACTCCCCAGACCCCAGAGAAGTGCTTGCGACGTGGACCTGGGGCCGGGGGGGAACTGGGCCAGCAGTGGGACCTCGAGGGGGTCTGACCTCCGAAGGCTGGCACTTTCTTACTGGGCCACAGGTCTCAGCGAGGAAGGCGAGGGCATCGGCCTGGCACGGAAATAACCTTAGGCTTTCCCGCGTCACACTCTGGGCCAGGCTTGGTCGCACCCATTTGCCAGGGGGCGGGTGTTAAAATCGGCACCGACTCATTTCCTCCCCATGCTCTCGTCTCTTCCTGCCACGATCCAGCACAGCTAAGTCCTTCTCGACGAGGCTGGCGTATACCCCACGCTGCGGCCGAAATCGCCAGGCACCCCTCAGTGACATCTAGGACCGAGTTCTCTCTCTCAAATCGGGAGATCGGCTCACACCCGAGCGGGAGATTTAATGGCCCTATCTGAGCACATTTTTACTATTGGCCATAAAGGTGAATAGCCTTCCTCTCAAGCCAGACGCATGACCGCCTCTGCCATTGGTCCAGGGCTGACTCCAGCGAGTGGGTGGTGAGGAGAGCTCGCAGGTTCCCAATTGCAGGCAAAGGAGCCTCCACCAGGAGGTGAGAATCGCTCAGGCTCCTACAGTATTTGTGCAGAATACAGGGACAAGGTTCTAAAGGACCGGGACCTTGCAGATGGTGAAATGTAAAGAAACGGCCAACATTTTCAAGAAAGCGATTGGTGTACAACATGGTCCCACAATCCACGAGGTCCTGCTGCCACGCGACAATAATGCGCGGGCCCAGCCACGTCATCCCTGCCTTTAACCTGCAAGCTCAGAGGTGGTTCCGAAAGTCCTTTCCAGGGGTTCATTCCTTGGGCTCCACTGAACCAAGGATTGGGAAGTACCTTAAAAGGAGCTATATCACTTAACCTGGACGTGCTCTAAAGACAGAGAACTTACTGAGCTGTGTCATCACGTCTGTTATCAAATGTGCCACACGAAGTACGATTTCTCATTATTTTACGAGGCCCTTCAGAAAGAAAGCCCTTTATCCCCGCAGGGCCGGAGCAGGCTGCTGACTGCGCGTCATACCAAGGAAAGGAAGGAAAGAAAAGCAATAAACTTACTTCCCTAAACCACCAAGTGCCGGCCATAAATTCACACTCAAATCATAAGGTAAGTGCTCGAACTAAGGACTAACATTTTTCTATATAAAAAAAGGAGTTTGCCACAGCTCTCAAGCATTGGCATCAGAAAACGCCAACAGCCTGGCCAGCGTGGCTCGTGGTTGAGCTTCGACCTATGAACCAGGAGGTCCCGGTTCAATTCCTGGTCAGGGCACAGGCCCGGGTTGTGGGCCCGATCCCCAGTAGGGGGCGTGCAGGAGGCAGCCGAGCCATGAAGCTCTCTCATCACTGATGCTTCTCTCTCTCTCTCACCCTCTCCCTTCCTCTCTGAAATCAATACAAATATATATTTTTTTTAAAAGAAAGAAACCAGCAGCCAGGCCTGGAAGAGGCGCCCTGGCTGGGCTGGCCGCCAACACGTCAAAGCCGGACGGAGCCAGGGTACCTCTCCTTGCAGAGGGGACTGGCTGTCCGCACTGTGACTGCGGAGAAGATGCTCTGGGCCGGCCGGAGCTCTGAGGCTCCTCTCCTTGGAAAGGCAACATCAACACGTTACTTTGCTCAACATCCTAGAAGCCAAAAGAACTAAAATGAAAATCTAGGAGCCAGGCGAGTCCTCACTGAGCAGGATGATGATGCAGAGCAGGATGGCGACGATGGCCCCGGTGCCCAGCCCGGCGCCCACGATGCGGTCCACGTCCGTGCAGTCGCCGTTGGAGTCGCACTGGCACACCTTCACGCGGAGCACGGAGCTGTTGGACTTGGGGGGGTTCCCCGAGTCGGTGATGATGATGGGGACGTCGTAGATGCCCGCCTCGAGGAATTTTAACTTCAAATTAAGCTGAGCGAAATCACCTGCGTTAAAAAAATGCCGAGGGAGAGTGAGTACCCGAGACAATGAGAGACGCCCAACATCTTCCAGAAGGCCTGTCCTCCCTGATGGTTAGAGCGGCGGTTCTCAACCTGTGGGTCGTGTCCCCTTTGGGGGTCGAACGACCCTTTCACAGGGGCCGCCTAAGACCATTGGAAAACACATATATAATTACATATTGTTTTGTGATTAATCACTATGCTTTCATTATGTTCAATTTGTAACAATGAAATTGGGGGTCATCACAGCATGAGGAACTGTATTAAAGGGTCGCGGCGTTAGGAAGGTCGAGAACCACTGGTTCAGAGGAGGCAGATCCACAGCATGCTGCACGGGGAAGGCTTGCTGGCTTGAAGGGCTTTGCTGACTTAAGCCTGCTGTCACTTTAAATATTTACAATATTTAATGAGAAGATTATAAAGCACCTAACGTGGCCTTATCGTACCAGGTTTCCAACCCTCTCCAGTGCACGTGTATTCAAACAACTAACCGGTTCTTACCATTAAGCCGCGTGATGGTCCAGTTCCTCTTAATGTTCACGGGAGACAGAGGCAGGTCAAAAGCAAAGGGCCCGGCGTTGGGGTCGATGTCATAGTCCAGGGCCGTGATGTTGATGGCGTTGGGGGCCGGCGTCTCGCACGTCTCCGCCTCCTGAGGCAGCACCTGCGGGGCGTTGTCGTTGATGTCCAGCAGGTAGATCTGCAGCGTGCCCGTCCCGCTCATCGGCGGGATTCCTTAAAGAAGAAACGCACACACCGACGGTGAACAGTTCCGTCAGCACCATGTTCACAGAAGTCCCTTCCATCTTATACATTAAAAACGCGCTATCTGTTCATCTCAACTATTTAGAATCTAGCAAAGACCCAGAAAGAAAGACCATACAAAAGGTTCTAAAACCAATACACTAAAGCTCACGTACTCAATTAGCCCAACGGATGCACCAAATTAAGAGTTTCCTCGCTCATGGCAGACTAGAGGCAGAGAATTAGAAAGAGGAAAAATGCCAGAGACAGACAGACAGATGGACGGCAGCAGAAACATACAGTGACCACCCCAGAAACCACGGTGTCCGGGCCACGGAGGGCGGACTCCACCTGCAGTGACAAGGTGTCGACGGGCAGCAGGACAGAAACCCCACAGGCCTGTCACCACCACGTGAGGCCGCCAGAGAGGGTGTGGACATCACGAAGCACACGGGGAATGTCACAGATACCCCCGTGGAAATGGAACACAGGAGTTGGGGCCTGAGAGTTTTCTAGACAATTGGGTTTCGTAGAAAACCCCATGTCCTGAGGACACATTCATGATACGCTCTCCTCTCTTTGACGACATGCAGGACGACACAGTGACTGGACTTAAGTACGTACCGTTGTCGGAAGCAAGGAAGGTGGCGTTGTATATGTTGTTCTTCACGTGGGGG